TGGTAGAGTTCTTTCCAGCCAGTAGGGGTATAAGACAAGGAGACCCTCTCTCTCCTTTCTTGTTCATACTAATTGCGTTGGTCCTGGGGAAATTGATTCACAGAGCAAACTCGAGGGGTCTCATTAGAGGTTGGAGAGTCGGGAGGAAGGAAACCCCCCTCACTCACTTATAGTTTGCTGATGACACGATTCTATTCTGTGAAGGTGGCAATGTGAGCTTTATCAAGAACTTGAAGTTGGTGATACAACTATTTGAGCAAATGTCTAACTTGAAGGCGAACTTTGGGAAAAGTTGTGTAGCAGGGGTGAATATGGAGGAGGGAGAGATCAGGGAGAGTGCAGAAGTGTTGGGGTGTGAAGTGTCAGAGTGGCCATTGAATTACTTAGGGTTACCATTAGGTGACAACCCTACGAGGGAGAACTTTTGGAACCCGGTGGTGGAAAGGTTTGAAAAAAGAATGGTCTCTTGGAAAAAGAATTACCTCTCTCTTGGTGGAAGAGTTACACTGATTAAGGCCACGCCTGCTAATTTACCCATCTACTTCTTGTCTGTGTTCAAAATCCCAGTGAAGGTTTCTAATAGGTTGGAGAAGTTGATGAGAGACTTTTTGTGGGAGCCGGGATAGGAGAAGAGGGACCATAGAGTCAGCTGAGAGGTAGTGTCCAGGAGTAAAATTTGTGGTGGTTTGGGACTCGGGAATGTTAGGAGAAGGAATATGACTCTTCTAGGGAAGTGGTTGTGGAGGTTCCCCTTGGAGAAGGAGAARCTATGGGCTAGAATWGTSGCAAGTATACATGGGCTGGAGCACAATGGTTGGGATGCTGGAATCAAAGCTAGGACCACAAGCTTTTCTCCTTGGAAATCCATTCACGATCTACTTCTAGTATTCTCCCCCAATATCAGGTATGATCTGAATTCCGGTAACTCCATAAAATTCTGGGAACAAACTAGGGTGGGGAATGCCCCTCTAAAGGATCAATTTCCTTCTTTGTATGCTCTATCTGATCTTAAAAATGAGCCAGTTTCATCCTTCATTACCCTATCCTCTTCCAATTCTGGGCTTGGGAGGAATTTGGGTCTTAGAAGGGCCTTGAGGGATTCAGACTTTGCTAATATTTCAAGCCTTCTTGAACTTCTTGATAATGTTGTCTTAGACCCCACAAGGGCGGACTCTAGAATTTGGACCCCTACCCCCACTGGCTTCTTTTCTTGTGCTTCCTTTTTCAAAGTCCTAAGTCAGTCCACCAGTCCTGTAACC